AGTGGCTGGTTCCTTCTCCTTCTGCGTCCTCCCTTGCTCTGAGTTACTACCTGCCCACTTGGGAAGGAGGAGTCCCTGGCCCCACAGCTGCTCCAGGATGTCCTGGGTGTCCTGCTGATCTTTGTTCCCTCTGTGTTTAGCTGCCCTATTCGGAGAGGCTGCTCCCCAGGTGAAGTCAGAGCGTCTGCGGGGGCTGCTTGACCGGCAGCGGGCCCTGCAGGAGACCCTGAACCTGAAACTTCAGGAGCTACGAAAAGTGTGTCTCCAGGAGGCGGTGAGAGCTTGGCCCCAGAGGTATAAGGGGTGGGGGGAGCCTGAGGTAGGAGACTAGGGTGGTGATTATGGATTCCTGTCACCCTCTATCTCATCAAAGCTCACCTTAGAGATCTTAGAATCAATGAATTTGGTAATGCATGCCCACAGTCCCTTATTTACAGTTCTGAAATCCAAAAACCTCAAAACCCAAAAGTTATTTCTAACATTTGGCAGCAAAACCTGACCTGAACTGAACTGAGGTGATCTGTAGTTTCTCTTTACCCCTCTTAGTATAAATATCCACACAGTTTGCCAGAAATAATAATGTGGTGTGTTTTTAACAAAGGGGCACTATTGGCGCAGCGGTTAAGCTAACCGAAAGTTTGGTGGTTCGAACCCACCAGCCACTCTGTGGGAGAAAGAGGAGGTAGTCTGCTCCTGTAAAGATTACAGCCTTGGAAATCCTGTAGGGCAATTCTACTCTGTCCTGTAGGATCACTATGAAATCAAAATCAACTTGACTGTAATGGGTTTAGTGTGAATATCCACACAGTTTGCCAGAAAAAAACAATGTGGCTCAGAGCATGCAGCCCTAGACCCCAATAGGGGCATTACCGTAATATGCAATATATAGGCTGTGGCCTTTATAAAAATTGTTTTTCTTTTTTTTTATTATTGTGATTTGGGTGAAGATTTACAGAGCAAATTCACTTTCCGTACAGCAGTTCACATATACTTTGTCTCATGTCATTGACCAC